GGGGGGGGGGGGGGGGGTGGGGGGGGAGTTTGTTTGCTTTTGATGGAAAAGGCCACAGCACATTCTGAGAATGTCTGGGAAAGAGGGCAAAGTAGATGAGGAGGAAAAAATAATTTATTGCAAACTATGGGACTGAGCAGAAAAGAAGTCCGCCTGTAGGAGGAAAACATGGGAAATTGGAGCTTCTTTTTACTTTGTGATTAGGTTTGAATACAATTGTACTTCTGAACCGAAGTGTCTTCTGAACCAAAGTCATGGTCCGCCAAGGCCTGGGGCGGTAGCAAGAGTAAAATACGTTTGTGTTTTAGGAAAACAGTTCCAGAGTCGAGGGAGAGGACTGAACTGAAGGGGAAATTATACACCTTCAAATGTGTGTTGACATTTGAAGCCACGTGTCATTGCCAAAGAAGTGAGCATTAAATTATTGATAATATCTTACTTATAAGTCTGCCCTATCATCACTTAACCCCTCTTTGTTTGGGTTTCACAGTCATTCAGGTTCAGGAAAGCTAAATTAGCCTTTGCAGTATATGTGAAAGGGACTGAGGGAAAATTAACAAGCAACTGAGGCTGCAGAGGGGCAACTCACATTCTTCTCCAGGTCCCCTCTAGCTCTCTGTGGAGCCCTGACGTAAGGTGTGCAGATGACAAGTGCCCTTTCCCTCGTCAGCAGACTCGGCAGCATTTCCAGCCTCAGGCAGGAAGAATAGAGACTCTTTCAGCAAGAAGTCTGCGGGGTTCATTTCTGGTGGTTTTCACAGAAACGTGCTGGCAGTGACGTAGCTTACTAAAGACAGGAGGAGCACCAGCAGGGTAGACCAAGCAGAGCTGACAGCGGTGAGAGCAGCGACTGGTGTCTGTGCAGACTCTACCACTGACCAGGAGCATTTGCATGTCTCATGTGGTCCCATTCAGCTGGCGTGTGTGACGGCCTGCAGGTTCTAGATTCCAGTGGTGAAGAGGTTTCCTTTCTCGTGAAGCTTAGCGTGACCCTAGCCCTAGCCCCAACCCTGACCCTTGCCCCGGCCTCAGCCCTACAAGCTGGTGAGAGAACAGGCCCGATACTGTTACCCTTCTCCTCTCCAAATGGAGACATGCTGAAGCCTAGTTACAGCTTAGGCTGAAATCACTACTTTTCAAGAAATCGGGGCCCCGGTGAAGTTTTATCACTGATATGCCATTTTCTTTCTCGACACTTCAAAACTCAGTACTTCAGTACATGTTACATGCCGAAATGCCATCTTCAAAAATATAACGGATTTCTGCAGCGAAACTCTCTTGCATTCAAAAACTGCCTTCCAGCACCCAGTTGAACAATGCTGTGTCTAGAAGATCCGTTTCATGTTAGGACACCAGCTACAGCTGGTCCACCTGGCGGTGCTGTTCTATGAGCCTAAGTTATTTACTGCCAACAGAATTCCTGTGATAGCTGGAATGTATGAGCTTTTTGAAAATACAGCCTTCATAGCTAAAGCACAATTAATGCCTTTGTTTTAAACTCTGTTTTAAATTCTGACTTTTTACCACTTGCACTGACTCACACAATTAGAGTCATGCATCGCCTAATGTCAGGGGACATTCTGAGAAAGGTTGTCAGGTGGTTCCATCATTGTGTGAGCATCACAGTGTCCTTACACAAGCCTAGATGCTCTAGCCTACTACACACCTAGGCTATATGGCCTAGCTATTGCTCCTAGGCCACAGACCTGCACACACATCCCTGTACTGAGTACTGCAGGCGGTTGTCGCATGGTGAGAGGTATTTGTGTATCTAACATAAACATAGAAAAGGTACAGTGAAAATGGAGTATTCTAATCTTATGGGACCACCTCGCTCATGTTGTTTGTCATTGCCTGGAATGTCACTGGGTGGCACGTGACTGTTAGAATCAGGGAGGTTTTGCTCTTTCTGAGTTTAAAACATAGCTTAGAAATGAAAAACACTTATCGTAACTTCTAAAAATGCAAGTAAGCTACATATGACCTCTCTTCGGTGTATATCACTAGAGGTGGGTTCTTTTTTTTTTTTTATCGAGAAAACTTTTGTATGATTTTTTTTTTTTTTGCATTGGAGTCTCACTCTGTCACCCAGACTGGAGTGCAGTGGCCGCTCCCGGCCACCGCAGCCTCTACCTGCTGGGCTCTGGCAATCCTCCTGCCTCAGCCTTCCAAGTAGCTGGAACTACAGGCGCACGCTACCACGCCCGGCTAATTTTTTTGGTTTATTGCAGAGATGAGGTCTCGCCAAGTTGCCCAGGTGGGTCTCAAACCCGCAGGCTCAGGCAATCCACTGACCTCAGCCTCCCAAAGTGCTGGGATTACAGGCTGAGCCACCGAGCCCAGCTTGTATGAATTTTAAACATGAACTTGGGATGGCATGAGATCGTCTCGCTTCTCAACTCTGGAACCTTCTGTGACTGCCGGAAGGTAGATTCATGTCACTGCGCGCTGGGTGGGAGCTTTCCTGTGGGGACTGAGCCCCACACACCCCAAAGAGAAGGCTGCCATGGAGCCGGACACCCCACTAAGGCTCACGAGGAGGTGCTGGCTCTGCCCCGGTCCAGAAAGGCAGGGTGTCGGGACTGTCCAAGTCCCTGTGGCAAGATGAGGCCTCTCCCCAGGGCCTGCCGAGACAGAGTGTCCCCAGGCTCTCTGGGCTTCCCGAGAGGGGTCCGACGGGGTTGCCTGCCCAGGAGGGGACACTGGCATCTCTTTCCACAGCTCGGCTTGTGGCGCCACCAAGCTGGCAGAGAGACTCAGAGGGGGATGTCCTGGCAGAGCAACCCCCCCCACTGTTCTGCGTGACAAGGATGTGTCGGTGGCATGTGGGACACATGGATGGGTTATGCTCTCCCCACTGTCCCACCAGGGGACACGCAGCTGCCTCGAGAGGGCTGAGTGGAGCTTGGCAGAAGTCGAGCTAGAGCTGGATGCCCCCCTCCCGGAACCGAGCCGGGGGAGCTCCCCCTCCCCTCTGAGAACCCGCTGGGCACGCAGCGGCCTGGGCCCACGGGCGGCATGTCGGTGTTCGCTGACAGCCACGACGCCCGCCAGAGAGAATCAGCACTGCCCGGCGAGGAGAGGCCCTTGTCCTGCTCCCACACCCTCCTCCCCAGCCGAACACACGGAGGAGGAAAGATTGGGCCGGGGACACGGAGGCAGACCGTGCCTGCCCACCCTCCCTTCTTGAGGGGAAGGCAAGTGAGACCGAGCCTCTCCTACCCATCTCGGCTGTGTTCGGCCTGGGATGGGCGCGTGAGGAGGGAGGGGAAAGCGCGAATCCAGTGTAAGACCTGGTTTCCTACAAAGTAGCTTCTTCCTGGCTCAGGGTGACCCGAAAGTCATGCAGGCTGTCCAGAATGTTAAGTGCCCATCAGGGCAGGGAGACGGGTCTTAGCCCAGTTGAGGGTAATGATTAGGAAGCAGCAAGACCTTTGGGTGTTGTTGAGCCCCTGTGGAACGGAGGCTGCTCTGTGAACTCGTTGCATCTGGGTGTGCTTGCTTTGGGGTCAGCAGAACAAGCTCCGTGGAACTGGAGGGGCACTCTGGCTCCCAGTGAGGTCAGCGCCGGACTTACACAACCCTTTCCAGTGTCCAGCAGGCTAGTGTATTATGCCACACAGCTGTGTGACCTGAGCAAGCCATCCGCCCTCTCTGTGTCTTCTCCTGTCCGATGACAGGTGGTCCCTGGACTTGTCCCAGCACCAGAGGTGTGTGCGATTTGTGTGGAGAGCTACCTCCAGCTGTGAGGGGGAGTGCCCAGAGGTCAGGGGCAACCGGAGGTATGTTGGTGTCAGTCATGGTGGTGATCCGGCTCCTTCATTTGTTCACCACAGAGATGGGCCCCTAAGAACTCTGGAGGCACAAGTATCTTCCAGGCTTATGACATGGAGCAGTGACTCAGTCACTTTATTGCATTGTTCACTCTTGGTCATTGAAGACAAGAACGTGCAAACGTTTCACCTGTCTTTTTCCCTTCTTTCTTGAAGTTAATGAAAATATTTATCCTCTGAAAGTAAGCAACATGAAGAGGGAAGGTGTTTTTGTTCTTTATGGCAAATATCAAACCCAGTTTGCCTTTTCCAAGATGTGACTGTATTGGTAATTGCCCCTGCATAAATGCATAAATGGTCTTCTTTTTCCCCAGGCAACCCAAAATGGTTTTAAACAAAAAGAATGGCAACTTGGAAGTCAATTATTAAACCCTGAGTACCGTAGAGCATTTTTGAGTTTTCAAAATGTGATTCTTTGCCTTCCATTATTTGCTCCTTCCCTTCCCGGATGCTTCCTTGGTAGCTGCCATATTTTAAATATTGACAAGATAAGATAGTTTTCTGTTTATATCAGCAGTCGTCTGTCTGTGAAATTTGGACGAATCAGAATGCTGGATTTCCTTTCTCAGCGATCCATCAGGTTCATAATGTAAGGTTACACATGGTTATTTTTTTCTCCTGAACTTGCGCTGTGTAATGTGTCGCCGTGTTGTCACCAGCTATAGGTACTATGTCCTGGCAATGCAGAAAATCTGTGATGTCTAGTGACTCCCGAGACTGTCCATTCTACTTCATTTACTGTGCCTTGTGACTAGTTGGTGTGCAAACGTTGTCCTAAAATGAGAAGCAAGCTTGGTTTTTAAGTCTGTGGTTAAAATATGTCCCGCGTGAGTTTTGGCTTTCATTCCAGGTGTCTGTGTTAACTTGCCTTTATTGGAAAAGAAAAGGGGTAAACGGATATATATACACACAGATGTATATATCGGCTTTATTCTTCCCACGTTGTACTTCCCCACGTCCATGGGCGACTCAACCCTCTGTGTCTAGTGGTCCTCCAAGATCCGTGTGCTTCACATGTGGGAAACGCTGGAGTATGATTGCATGACTTTCTGCATACATTTTTTTGCAACTGTGGGAGGAGGCTGGCCAGGAAGGGCCTGCCGTAGCTGCAGAGTGGTTCTCAGCCTTTTTCCACTGGACGATACCGACTCGGTCTCTGCAAAGTGTGTGAAACGGTGACCCCCTCTGGCACTGAACTGCTTAATAGTCAGGTGTTCACATTTCACCTTTGCATACTTTCGAAAAATTCCTTTCTGTTTGGAAAGTAAACATGGAACTATTTGGTGTTTCTGTGTTTCCTGTGTTAAAGCACAATTCCTTTTTCACATCCTGGCCAATTGCTCCGGTAGGAGAGCCTGCAGTCGGAGAGGCTGAAACCTTGGGTTGAGAATCACTGTGTGGGGGTGCCTGCACAGACATTTTGGGAAGCGCCTTAGGGTGCTGTTCAGACCCAACTGCCCCCTGTGCATGGGACTGTGGGCTCCGGAGGACTGCGGTGTCTGTGCGTTGCCTGGGGCTGGGGTTCACGTGACCAGTGGCTCTTCCTGAACCTGTCCATGCTGATCCGCGCTTCGGTGTATTCGCAAGTGGCCATCTCTGCTCTTTCTCCTCACAGGGAGCAAATGTTTATAGGCAAGCTAGTATCCTTTATTCTCAAAGACTTTTTAAAAGAATAGTTGCAGCATCCTGCTTTTGTGTATGTGCGATGTCTGTAGGAAGCCTTTTCCTCGCATTTACATCCAAGTTTGAGGGGGCACTCAAAAAAACCCAGGAATTTATTTAGTTTAAAATGTGTACTTATTCTTACATGTTTCAACTTCAGGCACCTTTAAAGCACGCTCCATTGGATGCGACGCATCTACTGAGACGCTTTTTCCACTGCTCACAATTGTTTTTTGATTTGTCTATTTTGATGCCTCTTAGTGCTTCTGCCATTTTTTGTTTCACCTCTTCCACATCCACAAAATGTTACCCTCTGAGAACTTTTTGCATCCGAGGAAACCAAAAATAAGTCACTTGGAGCAAGATTGGGTGAATAGAGAGGGTGGGGCACGGGGATCATGCACTGTTGGTCAAAAACTGCTGAACACTCAGCACAGCGTGGGCAGGTGTGTCCATCATGAAATGGGCAAACGTGTTGAAAGAATCTCCAAAAAAAAATTCACTGAAGCTGAATGCACAACAACGCCAGCTGGTACACTGATGGTGACGGGAGGGTTCCTAGCACACTCACCTAGTGGGGGAAGCCTGCACTCCAAGGGGTCCGCCTCCAAAAAATAATTCCAGGGTTTTTTTGTGTCCCCCCTCATGTATGTTTACATATGTATGAGCACAGAGCTGTGTGTAACATTCTTCAGAGCCTTAGAGACAACGGAAGGTCAGTGTTATCGCATGCATCTTACATATGCTTGGGTAGCCCGTCTCTGAAATGTGTCAGAATATTGAAAGTAAAGCCTTAAAATGACAATTGTCATTTAAAATTTTTTTAGTTTTTCACTAAGTGTTCTACAGAAATAGAGAATCATATTTGTTAATATTCAGATCTAAATTTATAAGCAGGTAGGTGGGAACAGCTCCTCAAAGAAAAGACTTCAAAGCTTCTACTAAAACAAACTAATTAAATCCTAATTTTAAGGCATTTTTAAAAGAATAACGCAAGGCTTAGAAAATGCCATACCCCTCTGTTAATGCTAGAAAGCTAAATCATAATCAAGACTTTTAATTATTTACTGACATCCTTAGGAAAGCTTTTTCTCAAGAGGAAAATAAGAACAGAGGGGATAGTTCTCCCTTTGTGTTCTCAGAGCATCAGCCAACCCCGTGAGATAGTCTGTTGTGGGATTTGCCTGAGATGTCTGGTCCCTAAAACGCTCGCAGCTATTCACCACCTTTTGAAATAATGCAGAGTTTAGAAGCTGCAGTTTGGAATCTATCATCCAGCAAAAAAACAAAAAACAAAAAACAACTATCTGTAGCCTTTTGTAAATGTGTTTATGTTTTATAACTAAATTCAGTTGGTGCTTTTATATTTTTCAGCTGTGGTATAAGATAATGTATAATTTAATGGCACAATATTAGACATGGCCCTATTATAGTCCTTGAAACCCAGCCAGACTGTGAATTTATAGTTGGCAGTGCTAAAATACCTGCTAAATGGAATCAACTCCCCATTTAAAATTCCAGTCTTAAATTGTGTTGTGCCTTAAGGTTAGAAGTTTAGTTTTTTAGTCTGAAGAAGATAGTCAGTGATGGACATTTTTCCCTACTTAATTAATGTTCTTTAGTGTGTTTACCTAAGGCTGAAAGGCCCATAAGGCATACATATAAAAAAGTCGCAAATACCAAATAAATGAGGCTATAAGCCATGACAAAATTCCTAGAATATTAAGATCATGAATGTAAGGGAAAGATTTCCTCTGAGTATTTTAAGTGCTAAAGGAATAGCCCGAAGACATTTATTAGGAGTACCTAGAACCATTTTAAGTTCTCATTTATAATTACTGAAAGAAGCATGCCCTCTAAAGACCACTGTGTCAGTAACAGTTTGAAATATGACAGAATTCTACCTCAATCTTTTCCTTAAAATGGCACTTGTCATTTAAAATTATTTTCGTTTTTCTGCAACAGAAAAGCACAGAGCAGACGTGACTTTCCCTCCTTCGTTTTGTTATCCTAATTAAATATCATTGCATCATTGTTGCCTGTGTCTAGACCTACTTTTTTCATTAAAGATAAGCTTTGAATATAAACCATTATAAGGACAAAAGACCTCTTAGGTCTGTTTCATTTGGATTTAATATTTAATAAAATTTTTAAAAGTGGGTAATTATTAAATTTAGTTTTAGAATGTTGCCTGAGGAAATGCAGGTATATGTAGACATGCACGTACTTTTCAACAAAGCCTAACACTGGGTTTTACAGTTCAAAATTATTTTATGCATGAGGCAAAAGTCTAGATTTAGCTTTTGACCCCGATGCCATTCTGTCTAGTGACTGCTCTCCCTGACGCCTCCGAAGCTCACTCTTGCTGTAACTCAGCCTCCGCAGGGGTTGAGACCTGGAGCATCCGTGCTCTGAACTCTTGTTCTTACTGGCAGTCAACCAGGTAAAGCTGAATCCCACTAGAGGCCAGGTCACACCAGCCCTTCACAACAGTGTGACGTTGAGTCCAGTCATTGGAGTCTATCTGTTCCCATTACCTTAATTCCAAAGAGAAGAATCAACGCCTACAGGCTCAGTCTTCTAAATATTCTTAGACTTAAGGCTAACAGAGAGAAGGCGATGTATTTCCAAGAAGAAAATACATTTATTTTCTTAAAAATTCAGTCTTGAGAACACCTTTTCCTCTGTTTGAAAATGAATTTCTAGAAATAGCACCAAATACAACAAAACTCAGTATCTTTTTCAAGAAAAGGAGATACAGTTCCTTCCAGGAAATTTTAAAAATATTTGGACCGGGCAATGTTTCAGGACCACATAGAAAATGAAGCAAAGATTATATTTCTCATCTCTATAATTATCTTTCTCCATAGCACCTAGGGGAGGTCTCTCAGATCACTCTGGATTCAAAGCAAGTGGTTTGTGATTTTTTTGGACAAAGAGGATCCACAGGGGAGCAGATGATGGTGCTGTCTGTGCAGAGTTACAGGGATGTGCCACTCGTTTCTTCAAGTGGCTCTCCACTGGGAGGTCTCGATGATTCCAGACCGAGGGCGTATGTGCTGGGCTTGTTATTCCCAAAATGGCTGCTACAACTTATGTGGATGATGTAAATATTTGGATCCGCATTTGGCTGTAAGGTTGGCTTGAAGTGTATGGAACTCACATTAAAGTTTAATTATAAAAGTGTGTGAGTTAATTGAGTAATTAGAGATGAGTTTGCATATGACTTGCATGCTTAATGCGCTAACGCGTGAGATGTTCCCATAACCCTAGCTTCGCCCCCATTCCCACACCAGCCCTGTCCCTGCAACCTGTGGTACCCAGCTCGTGCCATGTCCAGACTTCCTTGAAAACGGCCTGCTGAGCTTGGCCGAGGTCTCCCTCTGCTAACCTGGAGCCAGGCTAACGGGAGCTCTGATGCTTGGTGTCAGTGGCCCCCTCACCAGACACTGAAGCCAAGACCTTTCGAAGACAGCCAGATAGACCCTCCTCTTGTGTCATTCCACGGAGTTGCGTGCAAACCTCTGTTGTTCTGTTAACGGTGTTGCCTGTGACTTAAATGTACGATACCTGTTTGCTATGTTGTTGTTGCTTTATCGAGGGAGCGGGGAGAAGGAGGGAAAAGTTTACGGGGGAAATTGAGGGTGACTTGCTAGATTTGGGTAGAGCTTTTCTTTAAGAGCCCATATCTGCATGTTTCAGAATTTACACTCAGTTCTAAAACAATGTTGAAGTCTACATATCCTACATCTTGAACTTCATAATAGTTTTCAATAGCAAATCACAGCCAGTTGAAATAAAGTCTCGGTAGATAAGAAAGAGTCAGACATCCAAGAGAGAAGGAAAAGAAAAAAATCAAAACAGGAAGCCAGAGAAAAACGTGATCTCCTCTTAGAATTGCAGTCAGCTATTGCTTTTACAAAATAAAAATTCATATAAACATAAAGAGAAAGACTCAAGAGTGAGTCAGGAATGGGAAAGTCTGGACGATGCCCACAGATGGGGCCTGGGCTTCGAGTGGTATACGAATGCATCAGCAACTACAACAAACCAACCCAGAGCAGTGCAGAGCAGAGGTGAGGAAAGAGCCAGCAGGGCAACCAGCCACAGCCGCAGCAAGACACCAGGACGCAGCCCGAGGCTGACGGCTCTTCCCACGGTTGGAAGTGGCCATCCCAGGAAGGAGTGCGTCGGTGCGCTGCTGCTGCGAAAACGCCTGTGCATCGCTCACGGCCTCTAGATAGGAGTTCTTGTCGCTGGTAGCTGTCTCTGACTCCACCCAGCGCTAGTGCAGACTGCACAGAGAATGACCGAGCTTGGCGAGATGCACCCACCTAGACTCTTCGTGGAAAACCGGAGTCTAAACCTTTTGTGGTTTCTAGCTCCCTTCAGAGAATTTAATGAAAGCCATGGCCTTCTTTTCTCCCCAAACATACAGCAAAATTGTGCATTCTTGTACTAGACACCTAAAAATTCCCCCTTAATGAATCCTACAGTGTGTCAACCCATTTGCTAGTACTTCTATGGAACTTGGTCTCTAGCCATGGTTTTCCTTGGTTTGGGAGCTCACGAGACCTTTTTATACCCTTTCAACTCCTGAGAAAAGTAAGTTCCCATAATTCAGCCAAATCTAGGCTGCAAGAGAGGGGCTTTGGAAATCGGCCTGTTGTCTAGTTTTAGTTATGTCCATTTGAGAGCAGAGAACTGAATTTTGACAAATCAGAATCTTTGCCAGGAAAAAGAGTAAGAAATAGCCACGTGTCCCATACCCATCATGTTTGAGCCCAGAAGAGCCCTACCCGCATGGGCCTTTGACCACAGGCGCCCCTGCCAAACCGTTCAGTGAGAAAGCAAGCGGAGGCTGCCTTCAGGGGAAGGCGTTACGGAGTGAACAGGCCAGCCCAGCAGGCACACGGATCGGATGATCCACCAGCATATGTGGATGTGCTTGTGAGCTGGAACGCTCGAGCGCCTGCACACGTGCACATGACCGAGCTTGGCGAGATGTTCAGGCTTGTGGGCGCACTAGGTTTTTGAGGAAGGTAACTGAATGCCCCAGGACAGTCACAATGGTATTAAGTCGACAGCTGAATTCAGAGGAGAGGAGTCGCTGTCACCCAGTAGTCAACTTTTCCTTTAAAATTTTGTCTCGTATCATGCTTACAGTACCATTTCTCCAGACACATGAAATTATTCAGAGTGCATGGTACGTGTCAATATTTGGGAAGTGAAACAGATAGAACGGTTTATGTGGAAGGTAAAGGCAACTCGAACTAAAACTCACAAACAGATCTCAAAACAGATAGACTATTCTGTCAAAGAGAGTATGTTCTTTTCTGTCCAATGGAAGTTATGAATTATAAGTCATTGGTTAACATCTTCATGTTTTAAAGTTACTTCGCAGAGGGTGTCATTCTAAAACTAGAGTAATTCAGTGTCTTCACACCTCAAAAACGGACGCAGTTTGGGAAAGGTGATACGAATGCGCATAACACGTATTCACGAGAACACATATTTGCATGCCCGTGAGACGACCCCACGCATGTATACTTGCAGCATAGGTGGGTCAGGTGAGCTCAGGGTAGCCACAGGGGGGCGAACGCGGCTCACTGCTCTATTGCCTCTGGAATAAATGTCGTTTCCAGACAGGAGACTGGGGAGAGCCTTCCATCACCTTGCGGCCTCCAAATGAAGCCACCGCCTCGACGCCAGTGCAGTACTGGCAGCATCACCCGGAAAAGCTCATCTTCCAGTCATGCGATTACAAAGCTTTTGTAAGTTGCCCTGAATTCAGTATTTGGGGACAAGGGGAGATCGAGGGTCTGTTTTTTGTTTGTTTATGTTGATATTGAAAATATGCCAAAATATCCACCACTGACATTCCTAAAATGTCTTTCTCTCCACTTTTTCTTAAAGTAGGCTTTTATCTGAACAGAAAATCCAAACCACTAGAGGCTTTAAGATCCTTTTAATCATGTAAGCTTAAGATCGGTTCTGCCTTCTTCTCATATAATTGTATATTTTAAAAGAAATGTGATCGGGTGCAGTCAAGGTATAAATTCAGCTCATGTACACAGCTCCGCACACGCCCCAAACATTAGATCTCGAAACAGCAGATCTGCCACTGTGTACGCATACCAGGCGCTTTTCACTGTCATCAATAGGATTATACTGGTTTGCTTTTGTTTTGTTTTCTAGAGGAGAGGGAATGGCTATACTTAGCTGAGAACTGCGAGTGATATGGACAGGTAGATGCTCAAAAGACACCAGCAGCTTTGGGTCAGGTGGTGGTTGTCATGACGACAGCAGAAAAAGCGCTGGGTCCTCAGTGAAGCTGCCTCTCTTAAAAAGAAGCATTTCAGCTAGGACAAACTTTCCAGAAGACTTACAAGATGAGGGGTTCACCAAAAGATAATACATATCGCCTTAATTTGACAGAGATATGGGCGTTGGGGTTCTCTCACAGCAGTTCAGGCTTTTCTTGTTTTCATTCTGGGCATTCTGCTTCTCTTTGGCTGCTCACCTGTCTTGCAGCCAAAGAGAGGCAGAATGCCCAGAATGAAAACCAGAGTAGTGGGTAGTACTGCCCAGATCTCTAGGGGTGGACTGGCTTCGGCCCCCAAAACCCAGACCCCAGATCCCAAACCCTTCAGAACACACCTTTCTTCAAGGCCCTCGACCAAACCTTCTGCTTGTGTGCAAAGGCTTGCAGGTCCCCTTCGAGTCGGGGCCGTCCCTGGTCTGCACAACTGACCCCACCCCGTTTGTGCAGAGCACCAGCAGGTCTCCCGTCAGTCAGAGAATGTGCCTGAATCTCTTCCAAAGTCGTTATTTTAATTGATGTTTTTAAACGATGAATAGGGCTCTTTGCGGGGAGGAAAAGAAAACGACAAAAGGAAGGCACCCGCTAAGGCTTCAGAAGGTGGCTGGGGAGCCCGTTGATGAGAAGGCAGAATCGACATTTTGCTTGAAACGATTTGTCCCCAGCCGGAGGAAGGGGTGTTGGGCTGCCTTGGTACCTGGAGGGTACAGTGTTGGATTTGACTACCTGTCGCAAGGTGGTTGGTAGCTTCTGGGAGGAGCCTTGGTCCTTCCTCTGTCTCCAGCCGGGCCTCCAAGTGTTGCTGTGCGCCAGGGACTCAGCTCTCCCCACCGGGCTCTGCTGGCTTCCACCCACCCCGCCTGTGCTCAGGTGGACCCGCCACGGGGCACACAGCTGTGAACGAAAAGGGCCCAGAACGGCATCTCTGCTAAGAGCCGCCCAGTGTTAATTACCTATGCAGCAGAATCAGCCCAAATGGGGGACATGGCAGGCAACTTCTCAGCTGTCTCCTCCACCCTGTAATTACACAGATAGTAGTGTGATTTATTTTTGCAGACATTGCTGCCTCAAAAAGGGGGAGACGTTTTTAGATGCCCCCATTTCGCCGTTAAATATGATTTGAAAGATGGCATCTTTAGAAGATGCTGCAGTTCCATCAGGAAGAGCATCACAGCCGCAGAACGTACGACTGACTGGCTGCATTTTCTCAGTGAACGCATTTACTTGTTGGGATCTGTTACTGCTAGTTATGCAACAACCTGCAGCCAGGAAACCTGGCCAGTAGACTTCCACAATTTGTTTTTAAATAGTTACTCATAGTCATACTCTCTTTGTCATAAATCATTGAATTTTTTGTATTTTAGTATTTAGGTTCTATGCTGATAAAAGAGCTTAGGGGGACAGAATCAACCCAAGATGCTTGTGCAAAAATGCGGGTAAGTTGGCCAGACTATTTTATGTCTCGTAGCTGAAATGCTAAATACTGGGTATAGATACAAATTGCCACCTTTCAAATGACAATTCTCTTCATCTGTTGGCCTGCTGAATCACATTGGTGTTATATAAAAAGGTGTTGGGCTTTGTGCATGTTTATGCTCTGTAATTTGAGTTCATGGCTATTTGCTATATTTACACCATATACCTTTTGTTCTTATTATTTTTAAAGATTTAAAAGTAGTTGTATCATTCTCCAGATTAGGGGCAAAAAATGATCTTTAGTCTATTACAAAAAATGTTTTAAATACCCACTTGATAGTGTGAGAACATTTACTGAAAATAACACCAACTTATTAAAATTATCAAAAGCAGAAGTATTGGAAGCATATTATATAAGGCCAATATTCTTTAGAAACGTAATAATTCAGACTTTTTCAAATGTAAGAACACTCTGAATGGAATCAGCCATGCAAGGGCAAATGTTGACCACCACGGTGGTTCCGTGGTCTGTCATGAGTGGAACTGGGCTCAGGCATCCCTGTCGGCCATGGCAGCCTCCCTCGACAGCAGCCTGGCTGCACCTTCTCCTCTTGAGTCCCTTGTCCTTCCTGCCTCCATAGCACATGTCTAAAAGATGCCATGATGTCCGACCAACGGTGCCATCAGGAATACCCCATTTGCTCAGCATAACAGCTAACCAGAGTCAAGCATGTGGTCATTGGCAGGGGGGTAGTCAGTCTATTTTGTCATGTTTTTTGGTGAGCAGTTTTTGGTGGGAAACACGCCAATGCATACAGTGGCACTAAAACAATGAAGGCGGCAAACATGACCTAACCGTTGCTTATGGAGAGGTTCATATGTATGAATCGTCATAAAAATGAGACCCCAGTATGTCATCACTAATGCAACGTTCTGATTGATTACATAGCAAAAAAGACTGAAGTCATCCTCCTTCCGCTTGATACAGAGTTATGCAGCACTTAAGTCAGCATACAGTGCATTTTCACCCTAGGTACTTATGTCTAGATTTTTTTTAAAAGCGCTGGTATATGTCAGGAACTCTACGTTTTAGTTCTGCTTATTTGCCTTATGAGTCACTTTTTAGTCATAAGAATAACATGATAGCTGCTAACATGTAGTGAGTGACTACAGTATGCCCTAGTATAATTATTACCCCCCATTTTACAGAGGAAGAAACTGAGACTTGGAGCAGTTACATAGCTTGCCAGTGTGAGCCTGGAACTCAGGTCTGTCTGACTCCAGAGCCCAGGCTTTTCACCCAGTATTCCCCTGCTTCTCCTGAGCCTCCATTTTCTTTTCTTTTTGTTTTATTTTATTATAGCTATGTGGGGTACAAGTAAGGATTAACTCCAGAGTAGGCTGCATGCAGGTGAAGTTTGGGCCTCCAACTGTTTTCTTTTCTTTTTCTTTTTTTTTTTTTTGAGTTGGAGTCTCACCCCGTTGCCCAGGCTGGAGCACAGTGGAAAGCTCACGGCCACCCCAGCGTCGACCTGCTGGGCTCCAGCATTCCTTCTGCCTCAGCCTTCCAAGTAACTGAAACTACAGACACGCGCTACCACACCCGGCTAATTTTTTGTTTATTTATTTATTGTAGAGATGAGGTCTCACCAAGCTGCCTAGGCTGGTCTCAAACCTGCAAGCTCAGGCAATTCACTCTCCTCAGCCTTCCAAAGTGCTGGGATGACAGGCTGAGCCACCAAGCCCAACCTCCAACTGTTTTCTTACTTAAGAAATGAGAGCGTTGGACTAGATGCCTTTGGGGTTAGTCCTGGTTTTATGATTCTGGGAATCTTGTGTTCTATTTATCTGACCTAACTTGTATCTCAACGAATAATGAGAAAATGAGAAAGTTTTCAGTCATCAAGTGTCATATTAAGTTTAGAGATATTCATGAACATGTTTAAGAAATTAATGTGGCATCTCTGACTTAATTCTGTTAACTAAATTGCCTGAGTCCTGCCACTCCAGTGTTGTAATCAGCATCAATATTGCATAGTGCTGGCAGCACCATCCAACAGATCTGTGATTTGAATTTCACTCAATTTCTGGAAATGGAGTGGATCTGAAAGTATACCCTGATAGCAATAGAAAAGCCATCTTAATAGTTTCTGGAGACAATGATTTAGTTAAATACAAGTTTGTTGCTAAAAATGAAACTTGGAAAAAACGTACTTAGAAGCCATTTTTCTGCTTTTGAAAAGCACTCTGCCGGTTTGCTTCTCTTGGTATTTGAGTAGTTTACATGAAAACAGAAACTTTATCACTTATAAACCCTTACTCTGCGCCTTGATTAAATAAATCCCAGTCCTTGATATAGTAGCTAAAGTTGCATTCATCGTCTGCCAGAGCCTTTCAAAACCAGAAGCTTAGGTTTGCTCTGCTGTCTGAGACTATATTGTGAATTAGAACTCACGTCATTGATCTCAACTTGCAGTTAATTTTCAGTGTGAACGCAAGGTTACTCTTTTTTTCTATTGCAACTCAGTGGCGCTTCAGACAAAAGTCCCAGAATAAGCAAGTCTCCCGTGGGAGACTTTAGGACACAGAGGGTCTTAAAAGTTGATATACAGCAATATCACGGCACCAAAGTATTGCAACTTAAAACTTTACCTGACTTACTATTTTAATTGGGAAAAAAAAAGATAATTTTCAGGTCTACAGTATGCATGTTAACTGAAATCAGAAATTTTCTTCCCAGTAAGAAGTAAATCAGTGTGGTTCCTGATTCAAAAAACGCTTCCTTACATGTGCTGTTAACAAAAATGACTAAGATTAGGTGCCTGCTTTCAATGAGTCCACAACCTGGTGAAGGAAACCAACATGTAAACATTTCATCTCCTCAAGTGGTAGCAGCATCCCCATAGATAGATGGTGTCATAGCAGCTGATACTGAAAATGACGTATAGTCATGGCCTCCTAAAATCAGTTTGTCAGAGCTAATAACAGTTCGTGCCTGGCAACTATATGCCCGGGCCCCACACAGATGCATGATGGGCATTGGTTCATTCAATCCAGGTATTGCTGCTGTTCCCACTTCACATAGGCGAGTCGGAGGCCAAGAGAGATTAAGCACCTTGCCCAAGGCCACGCAGCCCGTGTGTGGTGGAGCCAGGGTGTGGACCTAGGCAGTGAATCCCACCACCAGCCCCACTGTGCATCCCAGGACTGGACTGTCTCTCTGATGTGCCAATGGGAACATTTATCATCCTGGGCTTAAAAATAGCTGAAAAAGTGGGTCACTTGTATTCTTAAGAAACGGCACGAGGAACCCTCAAAGAGTCTGTGAGGTTAGTGCTGGCTAAATCAAGCCATTTACTTAGGGGGTGCTTTCCAATGTGTTAATATGCATTAAAATTTCAGAAGAGTTCTTACTGCATCCTTAGCCACCGTAAAGTGTTTTTTCAGAAACCAAACATAATTTTCCCTTCTCCTCAGAAACATTTGGAGTGTTTGATAGTCACAATTGGTTAATTACTAAGTTTATCTAAACCTCTTCATTCCTCCCCGAGGTCTCCTCCAGTTCTGAAATAAAGATAACTTTACACGAATTTCCTGGTGTTTTACTATACACATATTATTTTCATTAAAAATATGCTAGAAGAAGTTAACAGGTGTTAGCTGGTCGTTTAATTCGCTTCGTTCTGCACCATGAAACCATTTCTCTTTGTTTGCACGGGTTAAGCATCCTTTTTTCCCTTCAGACTGTCTTAAGATTTTTAAGTAATAGACTTTTCGAAACAGACTATTTTTTAGAGCAGAAAAATTGAGCAGAAGGTACAGAAATTTCCCACAGGCCCTGCCCCCACACATGCCCAAGCTCCCCTCTCCGACCAACACCCTCCAGATGGTGCATTTGTGACAGTGGATGCACCACGTCGGCAAGTCATCGTCACCCAGAGGCCATGGTCGACGTCGGGGCTCACTTTTAGCGGTGTACACTCTATGAGCTTGGAGAAACCAATCATGGCCTGTGTCGTCCCCCATTCCAGGACCGTAGAGAGCAGTTTCACTCTCCAGAATCCTTTATTTTTTGGAGAAGTTTTAGGTTTACAGAAGAATCGAGCATAAATTCCAGAGCTCCTCTACAGCCCCTCTACCATGCCACCTCACAAGTGTTGTCCCCTATTGTAAACATCTTGCATCCGTGTGGCACATTTGTCAGAATTAGGAACCTATAGTGATAAATGTATTGTGAACTAAAGTCCGTGGTTTACATGCGAGGTCGTGCTTTGTGTTGTATGGCGCTTGGGGTTTTGATAAGTGTGTAAAGCCCTGTATCCAATGTCACAGTACCTTTAGAATAGTTTCGCGCCCTCAGACCCCGTGCACGACCTGTTCATCCCTCTCCCCTGCCCCCCTCAAGCCCTGGCAACCACTGATTTTTACCGTCTCCATCGTTTTACCTTTTCTAGAATGTCATACGGTAAGCAGCCTTTTTGCTCTGGCCTCTTTCACTTAGGATGCATTTAATGTTCCTCCATGTCTTTTCGTGGCTTGAGAGCTCATTTCTTTTTAGCACTGAATAATATTCCAGCATCTGCATGTCCCACAATTCATTTCTCCTTTTGCCTGCTGAAGGACATATTGGTTGCTTCCCAATTTGGGCAATTAGGAATAGAGATGCTATAAATATAAACATTTGCATGCAGGTTTTCACTTCAGATTTTTTCCCCCTGGATCTAAGCCCTAAATAACTCCCCTCCTGATAGTACTTTCTGGATTGTGTTTAGTAAAGAAGAATCTGTAGAAATTTGCATTAAACCCTGATAATGTTTATTCAGTAAAATTGCAGTCCTGTGCTTTACCTTTTGGAGTTTTCTTTTACAAAAGCTCAAAATTGAATATGCTTTGATATTGAGGCGACTTTTAGGTAGAATGATTTCTAGGAATTATTTTGCTTCTTAATAGTATAGTTTGGTCACTTGTTTCCTTTACCAGACAGCTTTACAGACATTTCTATTTAAATTTAAAATCTACA